TTGGGCCTGTTATGTGCCGAATGGCAATGCTAGTCCATATTCGCAGTGGGAGCTTCTTCTTCAAGGCCTTGGGTATCACTCTTGTTCATGGCTGATTTCCCTGATGACATGGTTAAGAGAGAAACCAAATATAGGAATTTAGACTCGCTGCAAAAGTATCATCGGTAAGAAGTTCTCTACAACATAGTAGACTTGTTGCATATGCAAAGCCGCATATGTTGAGTTTAATAAAATTGTAGGGCATTTTCAAGTTATCTAACAAATAAGCACAATGTGGATTTGCTGTGCTATATCTGCTAAGCAGGAACAGCCAGGACATTCCCATTACCGTCTTTAATTTTTACATGGTCTTCTCTTGGTTCCTTAATGACACTTGAGAGCAACATATTCTGGAGCTGTTTCACTTATTCTGTGGCCTTCATATTACAGGACAGATGATGAGATGCTGAAGGAGAGGAGCTATTTCTTTCACATCCAGTAGAATGCAATACTGTAAGATAACAGAACTCCTCAATCTCATCCTGCTACTTTCTCTTCAGAGTTCTTTAATTAGTTTATCATCTGAAACAATAAACAATTTCAAAGCCTGGTGCTCCTGCCATGTTCCTAGAGAGGAAGATAACATAAATCTGATTGTTAGAATGATGATTATAGAACATTACATTTTGGATGAGTGTTATGACCGAAAGATGCAATCCATTCTTGTTAAGAATTCCAAACTTGTTAACTGTTTTAAGTACAAATTTCTCGTTTACTCGTGGTTTCATAATTTCCAACTTGCTTTTTCAGCAGGTGAGTCCTTGTAGCTCTCAGCAATTAACTGGGAAGACAACTTCAACAAAACCAAGGGGAAGGAAACATAGAAAGTCTCATAATTCTCAAAGATCCTCAGTTCAAGATTATGCTCCTTCAAGTTCAACACAAGCTACCCAATTTGGGTTCATGGGTTACACCTCAATTCAAACTCATGCAATGACAACATTTCAGTCTACACCATCTCAGAGCCCAGCAGATACCCTACAAACCTCAAACTCGACAGTTTAGGATTCAAGTACTAATGTCCCCTACCACATTCAAACCCCATATCATACGTTTCCACCACAACCAGTAAACACTTTTGTGCCTATATATTGGCCTCCACCAACTGCATTTTCTCCTAGCCCTTATCCAACTGCAGATGGTTATCAATCTTATCCACCTAGTGCAAACTGCATCTCCATCCATCCACAGCCTTATTACAACCAACCCTCCTCCATTGGTCTAATTCCAAAGCTAGTAGAAGGAGGCGGGAAGGGTGATGTGGACTTGGAGGAAGCTGATAGCGACTCAGAGAGCAGTTCAAGCAGTGCAGAAGCAAAGCAGACATTAGAAAGCTGAAAGTAATGACCAGTTGTGTATACACCTTAATTTCAGAACACCCATCTTTGGCTCCTCCAATATTTATTGAGTGCATAAATGTGCATACATCTAGAATTTGCTTCGACAAGGGAGTCTTGTCCCTTTTGTTTTTCCCCTTTCTTTATCAATCTCTGTGTTTATCTGGTTGTGCAACATATAAGTTCTGCTATCTACTTTTTGTTTATTTATTTATTCTGCTTCTGATGACACCAAGAGCCCCTTATTCATGATTTTATGAAGGAGAGAAGGTTATATGCATGGATAATCAATAACCATTATATCATTGAATCCATGCATCAAACACCATGCATTCACCCATCCATACATTGTACATACATCCCAAAACATCATTAACCATGCCCGTCACCAACATCAACTTGAAAGCAAGAGAAGAAAAGAAACGTAGACTGGAAAAGCAGGACATTTAATAAAACATGGTCATTCATCATTACACATCATCATCATACCACTCACTAGCATTGATCACTACCCATCAACATTGGTCATATAGAAAAACCATTTTATTATCTTCTCCATCAAGCAAGCACATGTAGGAAAGCTTCTAGTGGTGCTTGTTGGCCATATTACACTGCTTTCTGATCTCACCTTTGTTACCAGTGAGAGGGTTGTTCTCGGAGAGGATGGTGATGGCCCTAGAGAACTCCTTGAAGAAGTAGTCTTGGCTCTTGGCCATTTTCTTCACAAAAGGCTTTGTCCTTTTGTCATGTGCTAGCTGGTGATCAACTATCAACAAGCCCTTGTTGTCCAATATATTCCTGTAGTAATTGTTATCCAGCTTCATGGGTGTGCCACGGTCATTTCTCACATACTGCACTGCCTTTGGGTCTGGGATAGGGTCCGGGCACTTGTGCAGCATGTGCTCAACATGGTCAGGGTTCAGGGCAGGATCAACATCAGGGTATAAACGATGCACCAACTTGACACAATGGGTTCTACCCACACTATGAGCCCCTGCAGCGTGCAGAAAGACCAAAGAATAAGAACTAAAGTCACATGTCCATGCCAACATACATATCTACATACATGCTTCAATTGATATAGACATGTGGATCATACCTAGCAAGGCGACTACTCCAGGAGTGTCAATACCCATGGCAGAAAATCTGTCAAGAACAACAGAGATACTTTCATTGTGGTCTGGGAGGTATTCCTCCACAACATCTGCCCTGCTCTTTCTACCATCTCTTCTTCCTGTCTTCAGAGGCGTATAAGGACCTCCTAGCTAAAACAGGCAAAACCAAGGCTACATTAAAGTCTGAGGATATAAGATCATCAACATGCATCTTCATTGACAAAGGAACTAAGCAAGTACCGCGACGATCCCATCTCTGGCAGAAAGTACTAGGATATCTGCACAGGAAACAACTCCAGGGCATTCCCTCTCTACAGCTTCTTTGATAGTCTCAATGTACCTGAAATTCCTGAGACCAAAGCTCCTGTCTGTCTCCTTCTCAGACAAGGTCCTCCTTGTTGAGTCCAGCAGCAGTGAGGCATCACATGACTACGCAACAAAACAGGGTAAAAACAGAGTAAAAACAGGGGAAAAACAGGGCAAAAACAAGGGAAAAACGGAGCATTGTTTACCTGGACAGCACAGTCATGGAAGATGTTTCTGAGCCATGAGAAAGCCGTGTTCTTGTGGCGCTTGTATAGTAACCTAACTTGTTCTCTGATAATGTCTTCAGCCTGAGGACATGAATCCTTGTAGAAATTCATAGCAAGACCTGGGTTTTCTTCTTCGTTCTCTGCAAATGCAGATACAGCAGAGAAGCAAAGCAGAGCAAAGAAGAACAGAGTTTTGGAACCCATTTTCTCTGTACTCTAAGCTAAAGGTCAGTGATTTGGATCCCTCTCCTTGTTCTTTCTTAAATAAAAGCAAAAGTGCTCAATTTGGGAATAAAGTAGGCAACAGTTATGATTATTTTGGACTTTCTGGGGTTTTTTTTTTTTTTTTTAAATAATTAGGAAATGGATGGACTTTATGGGTATGACCTTCTGGGTATGATTTCGATGCTTCTGTTCTCCATTTTCACACTTGGGATTAATCCCAGCATTCACTAGTACGGAGGCAAAATCATATTTAATTTGGTTCCGTAGAAAGTTGGTAACTCTCATAGGGGAAAGAGATAAGGTAAATTTTTAAAGAATTTTTTTATTTTGTGTCTAGATATAATAATATATATTTTTTATAATTAATTTTTATTAAAAATATAAATTTTAATTTTAATTTAATTAATTAATTAATTAAAATTATTCATATATTAATAATATAAAAATATATA